GAAAGAGGCGGGAGCCCGAAGACAACTACTCACAGACATCAGAGGGAGACAGTCAGTATTTATCGGGGATGTTATGAGAAGAAGGAAAATGGAACATGTGGTGACCACTGGAAAGATCATGGAGTTGTGTCAGCACACGAACGATTATATACTGCAGGAGCTCGCAGATTGTGGCGAGGCATAATCACCCACGCCGGCCGACAAGGCACCTGATGATGATACACTATTTGTATTCGTATTCGGCCGAATAGTTGGTCCCGCTATTCGTATTAGGCTGAATAGTGAAAATCGCTATTCGGTACAACCCTACTTTAATGGTACGGCTCTGATATGCCACTAGCCTAATAAAATTGATTTCATTTTTTAACGATTATATATTTTTTTAACATTTTTGGGGGGGGGGGGGGGGGGGGGGGGGGGAGAAGGACTACGAAAGGTATGAACAAATAGACCAGCTTTTTCTTTAAAGGGTCTCAGTCAGATAAGGAAATGTAAAAATGTAAGTTAAGTTTTTAGCAGGGCCTTGAGTTGACAAAGTGCTGGCACTTTGCACATGAATTTTGGTATCTGCTTTGGAATATTGGGCTCGCTTTTTAGAACTCTCTTATAAAAGGGAACAGATTAAGACAAGCGGACAACAGGCAGGCAGTGGTAAAAGTGGGAGTGGGCTGGAATAACATCAAGAGATAGACGAACAGTAGTCTGAGAGAGTGTATATCCAGAACTAGAGACATAGCGACAAACAGAGCAAAAGACAGAATGTATTTGAGATCCAATGCAGCCACAATTCATTGCGGAGACGGCACCGGATTAGTTATATGATACCAGATTATGAATTTTTTTTTTCAATAACGTCTTTAACACAAGTGTTACAACATTAATTACTACATTGTATACAATAATGACTACACCGCATACAATAATGACTACAATGCATACAATAACGACTACAATGCATACAATAATGGCTACACCGCATACAACAATGATAATACCGCATACAATAATGACTACACTGCAAACAATAATGGCTACACAACATACAATAATGACAACACCGCATACTATAATGACTACACCACATACTATAATGACTAAACCGCATACTATAATGACTACACTACATACTATAATGACTACAGCGCGTAGAATAATGACTACACTGTATACAATAATAACTACACTGCATAAAAAAATAACTACACAGCAAACAATAATAACTACACCCCATAAAATAATGACTACACTGCATACAATACTGACTACACCACAAACAGTAATGACTACACCGCATAAAATAATGATTACACCACATGCAAATGTCTACACTGCATACAATAATGACTACGCCAATAAAATAAAATAATGACTACAAAGCTTACAATATTGATTACACTGCATACAATAGAATAACATAAATTACACGTCAGTAAGGGAGTTGCCGTGGCGGATCGGAAGGTCGTGGGTTCGCTGCCTAGCAGAGCCGGACTTTTTTCAAACATGACCTTGACTCTTAGGTCGACCCAGCCTTGAGTGGCTACCGGGTGCAGTCCCGGGAAGTAAAGGCAGCCGGCGTGATACTGACCACATCACCCCTCTTGTGCCGGTTGGTCTATAAAAAGATAGGTCTAGCCATATATGCCCTATACGCCTAAAAAGCGTATACAAGGGACCTTTGCTTTACTTTTGTTTTTTTTACACGTCAGTAAAGCCTACAGTAAATCAAAATTACCTCATAGAGCACATTGGGCATTTGACCAGAGAAGTCATCGTGACTTTCTCTTTGCCCGTTTCATGCGACGGCATTCTTGTGAGTTCTCTCAGTACATGAGTTACTTCAGCAATGCAATGTTCAGCAATGCAATGTTCAGACTCGAGGTATGAAAGTGAACAGTGAGCTAGGATGTGAGGTAATATTCAGCTAGTTAATGATTTATATCTTGCTTTATCTGCCCGCACCATTTTATAGTCGTAATGTAGGCTAATTTATTTTATGATTGTTTATCGCAATATTTTAAAACAGATAAAAATATTATCATTTTCACTAACAGTGTTATCCGTCGAAAGCTGCAGGCTATAGGTATTGTATGCCATGATATCAATCGGTGGCAAAGTGTATCAAACCATGAGATAATGCTTATCGATTCAGAAACAAATATTGTCAAAACTATATGTAATGGCCTTGAAAAGTTGATATCAGAAGAAAGTATCTGGTTTAACATTCAAAATAAAGTTCACCTATCCGTCATCGTGCAGTTCTAGCCCCATTCTAGGACAAACAACAGATTACACCACTTTCCTTCCCAAGCCACTTGTTTGTAACTGAGCCGTCTCCTCGACAGATGTTAGCTAAATTCACTGCTAGCTTTGCAGATCACTGCCTCGATGAGGCTGCAGTCTGTGGTACGTTTCACGTTCCAGTCTCCAAAAGCGACTTAGAATGTTTCGTTTTTAAATGAGTCGTCATAGAAACCCACATCCAAGTAGGTCGAGAATAGGGGAATATGCTAATTAATCTTAAAACCAAAGAGCTGCCCTCGAGGCTACTATATAACTATATCAAAAGTAACATCCATGATTAAGAATGAAACTGCGACAGGTATAGCTAACCGTCGGTAGAAAACCACCAAACAAAACTAAAGGCTGGTCCCACAAAATGATTCTCAATAAATAATGGAGTGAGGCAGTGTAGTGTTCTATTACTGTTACGTTGTATTATATACATACACATAACCACCAGAAAAAATCTGTAATTCGAGAAATGAGATATTTCATAAATGCCGAGAACAAAGCAAATATTTACTGAGGCACTTCCGATAAAAGATGGATGATTTCCTCGCTGATGTGTAGTTGTGTCTGTCGAGTGACTGACTGACTTTCTACCCCACCAGGACATCACACAAGCGATGAACACCCGATGACACAATGTGTCACCATGTGGGTGAGGATCACCGTGGAGAGGTCCCACAAACCGCGTTCAGCCTTTAGGCCATATTTATGGTATATTGCAGCCCCTGGCAAGAGCCAGGGTAGGGCTTCAAAAAACTAAAAATCTCATCCTAAAAAGGACGGAAGTTATTATCTATTGTGTCTGTCAGGATGTAAACCAGAAGGTTTATTTTGTCAAGACTGTGGCTGGTGCAACTTAGATGGTGCATCTGTACTAAACTGTACTTGAGTTTTAATTCAGAGTTAATGCTCACCTTACTGTGGTGAATTTTTTATGTTTGATCAACGTTTGTGCTTCATGCAAAAGTTAAAAATTAAACACTGAGGTTGACAAGGTTGGCAAAGAAGACGGTACAAAAGGGATGGAGCAAGAAGAGAACGGTTTAAATAACGTGTTACCTCAGAATTCGAACATAATACCTCACGAGACGCGTTTAAAATCCAGATTGTTCCAGTTTCAAGACAATTTTTCCAAATGAAAACGCTGGAAACTTTCTGGAGTCCACGAAAATGTAATATTATTGCTTTGCTTTTTTCCTAAATACAGTACACTATGTGACACAGATGTATCTTTACATCTCCCAAGTATGGATGTGCCTAATTCGGGTATAGTGTGTTATGGATATAGTTCGTAGCTCTCTTGATCGTACTCAACAACACGGCCAGTGATGTAACAAACTCTTATAGATGAGGTTCTTTATTTCAACAATGTTGTCAAGTCAAGCAGTATTAATATATTCCATTTATACAACAGTATAACATTGTAGTATCTTATTGTTGGCTGTTCATATATCTCACGATAAGTTCTTTAATCTCTCTAGCCAAGCTAAACCAAAGTTTCATATCTCTTCTCACGAATGTTTTCTCAACTGCCCTCTTAAGCGGCTCGCCACTCACTGTCCGCACTGCTCTCTCAAGCCGCTAGCCCTGACTGTCCCTCTCTCTCTTCCTCGTACTCTGCATGTGTGTGTCTGTGCGAGTATTTGTGCGTCTGTGGGTGTGTTAGTATGTGTTTGTGTCCGTCTCTGTGTGTCAGTGTGTGTGTGCCATTATGTGTCTGTAGGTGTGTATGGCTGCATGTGTACATGTGTCTGTCTGTGGCTGTGCGTGGCTTTGTGTGTATCTGTGTGAGTCTCTATCGGTGTGTCTATTATATACTCAAAAAACTTGGTGAGGTGGCCGAAAGGGCATCCAGCTGGCTTTGGACGCAGCGCAACAACGTAGGGGACGGGCCTCGGTGAGCTGGTCCGGGTATCTAGTGGAAAAGAGTTTCTTATCCCTTTGAAAAGTCCATCGTGTACGAATTGTCTGCCAGTGTCTCTCTGCCAACTGCTAACAAAAGTCCAACATGTGTCCGGTAAACCAAAGTAAAGCTTGTCGCTCGGTCGTCCAGGCATGCGGACTGTTCTAATTACGCTGTCGCGGCGGCTTCTTATCTCACAGTACCTCCTTCGAAACCACCAAGTCGTCTTGTCTCTGGCCGAAAGTATAACACCATCCGGTAATTCTGTGCGGCGGGGAAGCAGCCCTGAGCTTCATGAACTCAGGTGGGCCCACCTCCGAATACGTTTAGGAATCGTGGGCCGAAACGTGTGTCGAAAGAGGATAATTTCTACTGATGACTGTAGATCCCCGCTGTACTTGCTCCCTGTGAGTTTATTCCTATTGTACGTGGCTAGCCCACAAGACTACCAGGAAAGACTGGTGACTATCGGGAAAGACCTTTTGACACCTATGGAAAGACTGGCCCCCCGGTATCGCCGGGGGGATAAACTGACATCTGGAGACAGATGTCGACTGTGGACCGGGTTGATCACCCCTAACACAGTATAATACCTCCGATTGCGTCAAACCACAAAGAAATATGCTCCCAGGGCCCTCCGAAAGGGGGAGAGAATGAAGGGCCCAATCAAACTGATACCCTCGTTGACGACTTTGCTAGCCCCCGGACTGAGATACTCGCCCAACGTCCGGGCTGGCTCTGTACATGTGGGAAAAGCTTCACGGGGTTGCATGGTCTGAGAACGCATGCCGGAAGAATGAAATGCGAGGGTGCTCCACGCAGTAAACGCCGTCGCAAAACTACTACTACTGTGGTAGTTTCTGAGTCGTTAGGGAACGACGGGCAGGGGGAACCCCACTCGCCCGGAGAGGCCCATGACGTCGACTGCGGAGGAGCTCCTTTGATGATTTCTGAAGAAGTGCGCTCCAGAATCAGGTTTCCACCTGCGAGCGAGAAGGTGGTGTGGTGTAAGTTGGAGGCTACATTATGTGAGGTACTTAAACAAACTCTAAACAAGAAGTCGCTAGGCGACAAGCTTACTAAATTTGGTGATGTAATATATGAACACTGCTCCCGCGAGTTCGGGACAGTAGTTAAGGCACAGCCGGGTGCCAAGCAGAATACTAGCAGGAGGCAGAGGGACATTCTGAAGTGTCGGGCAGACAAGAATGCCCTCAGAAAACAGTTCAAAGCCGCTACGGGCAGCGAACGGGAGGGGCTGTACGAAGTGTGGGTGCATTTAAAGAACAAACACAGTGCCCTCTGTCGCGCCGAGCGTTTCTGTAACAACAGACGAAGAACTAAAAGGGAGCGAGAGAAATTCTTTAGGGACCCGTATCAGTTTGCCCGAGGTCTATTCGAGCAACCGAAGTCTGGGACTCTGGTTGTCAGTCAGAAAGAACTTGAGCTACATCTAAGCAAGATGTACTCTGATAAGAAGAGGAGAGAGCCTCTTGATGACAATCCAGAGATCCTTAGCGGACTCAAACAGCCTTCGGTGCCGAAGGTACCATTTAAACTGGTACCTCCCCTTTGGTCTGAGGTTGAGGACGTTGTGAAAAAAGCCAGCGGCAAGTCTGCCCCAGGTCCGAACGGTGTTCCGTACGTTCTTTACAAGCGTTGCCCGAAAATCCTAAAAATGCTTCACGTCTTGTTGAGACAAGCGTGGATCCGCAATCACATATGTCCAGAGTGGTCAAAGGCAAATGGGGTCTACATTCCCAAAGAGCAGGACTCGAAGAGTCTTTCCCAATTCAGGCCCATCTCGCTGTTGAATGTTGAGGGTAAGATATTCTTCTCAGTCATGGCTCGCCGGCTCACACAGTATCTGATGACTAACAAGTACATAGATACGAGTGTTCAGAAGGGTGGCATTCCAGGCGTTCCTGGGGTGCCTTGAACACGCGACCATGATCTGGGAGGCTATCCAGAGAGCCAAGCATGAGAGAACCAATTTGCACGTTATATGGTTGGACTTAGCCAACGCCTACGGGGCAGTCCCCCATAGGCTACTGTGGCGAGCCCTTCGCATGTTTCACGTACCGACACAGATCAGTCAAATGGTCGAGCAATATTTCTCTAAGTTCGCTTTGCGCTTCTCTACCTCGACGTTTACCACGAGGTGGACTGAGTTGCAGATTGGGATTGCTATGGGGTGTACGATCTCACCTATACTGTTTGTCATGGCAATGCAGATCATGTTGGACGGGGCGGCCGGCTACGGACTGGGCCTTCAAATAGGGGATCACTGGTTGCCGCCACTGCGCGCATTTATGGATGACACGACTATTATAACGGGCAGCGAGGAGTCTGCCCGCACGATCCTGAATAGATTGGACGCGGTGGTCCAATGGAGCGGTATGCAGTTCAAACCGCAGAAGTCGAGGAGTCTGTCAATCCATAAGGGCAAAGTGTCGGCGATCAGTTTTACGGTGGCAAGGAACAAGATCCCTACGGTTCTGGAGGAACCGGTGAAGAGTCTCGGTCGCGTTTACGATTCGAAGTTATCTGACAGAGCGGAAGTCCGGCGAATACATGAGTCACTGGCTACAGGCCTGCTCGCGATCGAGCGATG